TGTCCAAAGAAGTTTCAAAAACAACAAAAGAATGGTTTCTCAGGAATTTTAAAGACTTGAAAGTTGTTGAAGAACCCTCAATTCCTTCTTAGAGGAGGAAGGAAAAGAACACAACATAGGTTCTCTATTTTAAAGTCTATTAGAACCTCCTGCCTTAAAATTGCACTTGTGACTTCTGTTCCTTTCTACAGAACCGCAGGGTAGCTGATGACGCCACGTACACGGTAATAAACAATATCTGATTATTAACATTATTATTATTATTAAACTTTTTGTAAACACAGAACTCTTGGAAGTTTGCATACTAACACAGAAAACTCGTATCTGAACTTGTTATATTTTTAAATTCAGGGCCTGAACAAACGCACAGATGGAGAATATAAGGAGCTTCCTCTGAAGGTTTGTAATGAATGACCGAAACAAATTGGTCAATTTCTCACTTCTTGTTTAGCGGCTACTTAATTAAATTCCATCAACGAAAACCTGATGTCTAATTATTTACACCGACTTTACAGCGTCCAAAAAAGAACGAACAGGTTTACCAGGTGAGTGTAAAAGCTTCATTAGCTTTAAAGAGATAAATCAAAATTAACCATATCACTTGAATATAATTTTGTGATTAAATAAAAAAAAAACCCAAAAAACCTGATGATTGATTGATTGATTTTGGTCATTTTTAGGGTCTGAGTTCGGCCACCAGGGACACCTACGACTCCCTCCAGATGCAATCGCTTCCACCTCGCTAAGAAGACACCAAAGAGCTGCTGATGAGCCCCGTCCAGACGTCTGCTCCAGAAATTATTCATGGGAATTTTCACACCAACTGAGAACAGCTTGAGCATCTTTGTTTTACTTTGAAGATATTAAGGTTTGCCAAGTTTATAATGAGTCTCTAAATGGACTGAAAATTTTAGCCTTTTTCAGACTTTATATTTAACAAAACATCTGGAAGGTCTGTTTTCCATCAGACTTCAAACGTGCATTTAAAATTTGTCTTTTTAATGACTTAATGTCCAATATTTTACAAATATTTTCACACATTCAATAGTGATTAACTGAGATCCAACTTTTCATTCTTTTTTTACCTAACTTTTTTGCAGTTTTATAGCTTGACCTTTTGAAGTATATTAGTGTATAAGGAGTTGATATCCGATGTCTATCTGACTGTAATGCAAATTTAAGACCCGTAAAGACAACATAGTAAAAAACAGTACGACATGTACTGGAATTTAAACAAATTTAAATTTGAAATACATTTTTGTGCTTTTTTAAAGCAAATATTCATATTATGTTGTGTAGTATTATGAAATGTTTTTAACAGTTTACAACTACATTACAGTGATTTATGAAACGTTTATTAATTAATTACTATACAGTCACTATACAGTCAACTAATACCAATTTTTATTTTTATTAATTTTACTTGTTGTTTAATTTTATTTTATTTTTTTCTTACAAAAGGTTACCCTTTGCACATTGTATTTACTTTAAATAGAAAAAAATGAAATTAGTGCCTAATTCAATCAATATTTCATAAGGGTTTTCAAGAATTCCAGGATTCAGGAATGTTCTGGAACTCAGAGTTGCAACGATTAATCATTTAATTGATTACCTGATTAAAAGAATGTTGAATTCTTTTACATTTTTAACACATTTTTAGATTTTGGATTAAATCTGTGTTGTCGGATGTAATAACTGGTATTAGAGGCTTGAAACTTACTCGGTGACATATTCGACCTCTATAAATTTTCACATTCAGGTAAAAAAAATGCTTACATGATTATTTCTGAATCCATATTGAGTATGTTATGACCTGGTTCTCAGTATAAAACTGTAAACAAACAAACTGCAGTTTGTACCTTGTTTACATAGGTTGTTTAATTTAACACAGTTATATATCAGGGTATTTGTTGTGGATTAATAGCACAGTTCAAAGATTTTTAAGGCTGAAACACCTTTAAAACTGATCCAACGTGAATTTATGAGAAAAAATAATGTAGGACTTACTTTATGATTTGAAATGGAGGCTTGCCTCTTTTGAAATGCTTTCAAATTTGATAAAGATCCGTAAAAATGGATAAATGCCATTAACACCAAGTCTGTCTTAAATAATGAACATCTGTAAAATTTAAAAGCTGCACTAATGTGGTGTGGAAGACAGATGTTTCACAATATTCCTGAAAAGAGTTTGGTGCCGTTTCAGTGGACACTCGAGGAGTTATTTTTCACTGATGTATATATTAGGTTGTAAAATAAAAAGACATCAAAGAACTTCAGTCTGCACTTAGATCAACACAGAAAAGCTGCAGCTTCATTTCTGCTTTTTATATTTATCATCTAAAAATGATGAAGTCTTGAGTAACATCTGGAGAATCACAGCTGCAAAGAAAGAAAAACCTCAAGATTGAATGAATCAATATTCATTACATGAGTGATGGCAAAATATGAAACAATATGAAATATGAAATAAATGTAATATTTTGAAGTATGTATTTTGAAACATTTCTTCATTTGGTCTTTTTCACAATAAAAGACAAAAAAACTTTCAAATGAGCAATAAAACCCGTAAAATAAATAAAACAAAATTGGTTGAAAAATGTTCAAAAGCTTATTATTATTATTTTCCGTTTCAAATTTCTGCAATAATGAATGGGCTTCCACACTTTTCAGGTCTAAGATTTAGTTGTAATTTTTAAAAGAGCACTGCAGCTTTAAGTTACTATATGTTTTGCCTTGTCCTGTATAGAGTTATTTGTAGTTTTCTGTGTTCATGTATTTCATCTGATGTGTTGGATAGTTTGCATGGAAGTTTCTTTTTTTTCTGATATTTTCCTGAGAAGTTGTGCTGCAAACAGTTATTTTATTCCTGTATGAATATCATTGCTTCATTATTAAAGTTTGCAAAATTCTGAGG